TTATTTATGCGTTTTATTAGAGTCTGACTCACGTCCTCTATAATGCTATAATTAACTATTTATTACACTGTTATTTTGGTTCTCAGTGTTATAAAGTTTTTGGGCAGAAATTTTCTCTTTATCGAGAAGGTTCAAGCCTTTTTAGATTTAATTTTGTTCCGAAGATTAGCGAGGTGGTCATTTTTTGAAACGTTTGTGTACTTGTCTTATTTCAATGGCTATTTCTATAGATCAAATAAGCTCAACAAAGCAGAAGTAAAAAAATATAAAGTTGCATTTAAATTTTGTTTTTATTTCAATTAAAAAAAATTGTTTTGGAAATATCCTAATTTTTTTGGAGAAAATCCAGGAAAAAATCAAAACTTTAAAGCACAATGATTACTTCATAGCACGTTTAATATGAAATTCACGATGAAGTGAGTAAGAATGATAAAGTACACAATAGTTTCATAAAAACGTTTAAGATTCATGAATTAGTAATTCGATGTAATTTCTCAGATTAGGAATTAATTAAAATTCTAACTATTTCAAATTATATCAGAATTTGATATTGATGAAATATCTGAAGGTTTTCCCGAATTATAAGTTTATTTAAGTTTATATTTGGACTTTAAGATGATTTTTAACCTAGCTCACAATGCTTACGAATGTACTCTGAACTGTGTAAATGAGCTAGAAGCTGGAAAACTAATTTTAATTTTAGAACTTGATGTGTTATAACTCTAGCCGTCCGTCGAGCTGAAAAATCTTTGTACTTTAGTTGTACATGGAGAAAGTAATCTTGCGTGGAGTTTTAGGTAATCTAATTTCACTTTAGTTTTGCGTGGAGAAGGTAAAATAATTTTACTTTAACCGTGCGTGAAGCTAATAAATCACTTTACTTTAGTTAGGCCACATAAATTTCACAGAAGAAGATCATTTATTTGGCGTACAGTCCCGTTTTGCCTCATATAGTCTGTATTTGTACTGTACTACTTGCACTGGTTAGGTGAAATTCAGCTCGGTACATGTAATGAACTGGATGTAACGTTATCAGGGAGTAAGGAATAGAAGGGAGATATAACTGACGCGGTTCGCCCTACCATATGATTATGCGTGCTTTGCAGACGGGTACTCCATTTGTATAAAAATTATTCAGAATAGGTTTTTGTATACGCGGTAATTGTACATCAGACAAATATTTCTTATATAAATGGAGTACCGTCTGCAAAGCATGTATAATCATATAGTAGGTCGAACCGTGTCAGTTATATCTCCCTTCTATTCCTTACTCCCTGAACGTGATGCGTAGAGTAAGTAAACTAATTTCACTTTAGTTATGTGTGGAGAAGGTAATACAATTAATTTCACTTTAGTTATGAGCGAATTTAGTAAATTCCTTTCACTATGATTTCAAGTGGAGCCGGGTAAAGTGAATTGTGATTTAAGGAAGAGTTTATTAGAGTTTTCTTTTAGTTTAGTTAAGTAAATTATTATGGCGTTTAAAAAAGAGTCTTTTATTTGAAACAACCAGCGATGGTTAGACGGACACTGGCTTTTAAAATAGAAAAAAATTCATACTTTAAAAAGTTCAAAATCTATCTATCCATCCATCTTTATATTCCTAAACATTATAAGGTTCCCTGGTATATACCTGTCCAATGAGATGACCCTCTGTTAGCTGCAGATACAGACTGGTATAGTTTACCTGTCCTATGAGATGACCCTCAGCTAGCTGTAGATACAGACTGGATAGTTTACCTGTCCTATGAGATGACCCAGACTGGATAGTTTACCTGTCCTATGGGTTAACCTTTAGCTAGCTGTAGATACAGACTGGTATAGTTTACCTGTCCTATGAGATGACCCTCAGCTAGCTGTAGATACAGACTGGATAGTTTACCTGTCCTATGAGATGACCCTCAGCTAGCTGTAGATACAGACTGGTATAGTTTACCTGTCCTATGAGATGACCCTCAGCTAGCTGTAGATACATACTGGAGAGTTTCCGGGTTCTGTATTCACTTCCATTCCCATATATAGATACTCTAAAAATATTATAGATGGAAAATTATCAAAATTAACTAAATGATTACATTTTTGGTATAATTTTGACACAGTTTTATGTCAATTTCTCAAGTCAGGAACATCAGCTAGATGTCTTATAGGTTTCGTTCAACTCCTGAGATTCAAACCCTTTAATTTTTCCTGTACAGTCCCTTAAAGCAAAAAGAAAAATAGGAATAAAAAGTAATCAAGATTGAAATAAAACCTGTTTTTATAGTTCGTTTTTACTTGTTTTTAGTACGGAATTTTGCTTAGCTTAGCTTGTACCCTAAATGCTATCTATAGGTAGAATTTTTACTAGTCATTGAATAATTGGTAGAAAACATACTTTTCAAACAGACCCAAAACGTACTGCAAATAATCTAAACAAAAGTTCTTTAACAGCTATTAACGCGGTAAACTATAGGTCCTAGTCTATTCTAAACTTTAGCACATATTTTTACCCATGAAATGTAGACTTTTGTATTTTCTATGTTACACATTTTTGTCTGGCTCTGCATTTTAGATATTTAAGTATATAAGGTCTTCTACACGGATTTGAATGATAGAGATCAAAATATGACTAAAACTATTCCAATGCACTTCTCTAGTTAGATATACCTTGAATAAACCCTGATATCACCTGAGATTTGAACGATGGATCGAATCATCTAGAAAGAGTATACCAATGCACTTCTCTAGTTAGATATACTTAAATTAACCCTGATATCACCTGAGATTTGAACGATGGATCGAATCATCTAGAAAGAGTATACCAATGCACTTCTCTGGTTAGATATACTTAAATTAACCCTGATATCACCTGAGATCTGAACGAAGGATCGAATCGTCTAGAAAGAGTCCAAGAACAAGACAAAGCTGAAAATCACTTCCAAAAACCTAAAAATGAATAATTTTAATTTATTTTAGTTGTCATTAAACGCCCACAAAAGTGTCTCTATTAATTGCCTTCTTTGTCTATATTTCATAAATCTGCAATTCACTTAAAAAAAACCTCAAGAATATCCTTGTTGATGATCATGAAAACTTTTCTTAGGGTAGCCTGCAACCCCCTCTCTGTTTTACTCTGTCTGCCAACCCCATCCCCTCTCCTCCCCCTCCCCAACCAAGTCCGAACTGTTCCATAGAATTTATCCTACCTGTAGTATAACACTATTAGTCCGAACTGTTCCATAGAATTTATCCTACCTGTAGTATAAATCTATTAGTCTGAACTGTTCTATATAATTTATCCTACCTGTAGTATAAAACTATTAGTCCGAACTGTTCCATAGAATTTATCCCTCCAGACATAACCTCTGACTGAACTAAACTCCTAAAAGTATCAGTTTAAAATTTGGAAACGTAATATATCTACTTCAACACGTTTTCATATAAATATAAAGATCCTGATCAAGACTGATCCTGATTTAGATGTATTCTGATCAAGAATAATCCTGATCAAGACAGATACTAATCAAGATTGGATCATGATCAAGACTCATCCCAATCAAGATTGATCCTGATGATCAAGAATGATTTTGATCAAGACTGATCCTGTTCAAGACTGATCCTGATCAAGACAAATCTTGATCAAGACAGGTCCTAATCAAGATTGGATCCTGATCAAGACTCATCCTGTTCAAGACCGATCCTTATCAAGACTATCCTGTTCAAGACTGATCCTGATCAAGACTGATCCTGATCAAGACTGATTCTGATCATGACTAATCCTGATCTAGACAGATTATATTCAAGATTGATCCTGATCAAGACTGATCCTGATCAAAACTGATCCTGATCAAGACTGATCCTGCTCAAGACTGATCCTGTTCAAGACTGATCCTGATAAAGACTGATCCTGATCAAGATAAATCTTGATCAAGACAGGTCCTAATCAAGATTTGATCCTGATCAAGAGTCATCCTGATCAAGACTGATCCTGATTAAGACTGATCCTGATCAAGACTGATCCTGATCATTACTGCTCCTGATCAAGACTGATTATCAAGGCAGATTCTGATCAAAGCAGATCCTGATCTAGGCTGATCCTGATCAAGACTAATCCTGATTTTTTTGTGAGATATGGGTTCTTGTTATGCTCTCCAGAGCCGATGTATAAGGTTAAACTCAAGGACGGAGAAATAAAGGTTAGGATCGGAGAAATACGTCCTGAGTGAAATACAACTGAAATGATAAGGTTAACTCCGTCCCATGAATGGTTTAACTCCAGGGGGGAGCAAGGACTTATAATTAAATAGCGACAACGAAAAATAAAGTAAAAATTATACAGTAATCTAATTAGATGGTTAGGAACATATTTTTCAAAAGAAATTTGTCAATAAATCAATGCTGAAATCGATTATTTTGTTTTCATTGTTATATTGAATTTCTTAATTTCTTTGAATTTATTCGCAGATTTCTTCAATTTTTTCAAATGTCGTCTTTTCAATAATGATTCTAGAAAATCGGCAGAAAATCTTTGTGAATAATGAGAAACCAGAATAATGAGAAAGTAGAAACTAATAATTGAACAAGATTACTTATTTTCGATGATAAGATTATTTTTTATTTTCTCAATTTGTTTCTATAGATAACGTCTGTAGTTTATTGTAGAACTTTATTACATTTTCTGTCGTCGTTATTTAATAATTAAAAAAAAAACCTAATTCTGAAAACGTATCCACCCCCAAAGTAGGAGTTTTGAACGTCGAATTTGCGCTCAAACTCAGGATTTACAGATCTTTAAAAAGTTGAATACGTCTCAAATGAATCAGAAAGAAGTTTTCCACAACACTGCATACTCTGTTAAACTACCTTACATAGCCTATCACTTCCTTTAAACATTTAAACAAAGAGAGGTTGTCAGTTACAAGCTTCTCTTCGTTTACTTGTAAACTTGTAATTTGAAAACTGATTGTCAGTGATTATTAATAAAAAGCCTTCTTCATTTTAATGATATAATTGCCGACCTCTGTACCTAATAACTTTTTTACACGATGTTAATCTGAGGTATATTGATATTAAATTAAATTAATTAATTATAAATAAAAAAGTGATCGTTTATACTTTAATATTTTTTATAAATTTGTGCACAATAAACATTTATCTTCACAGAACGTTTACTCCACGACTTAAAATTAACACATTTAATCAAAAAAACGTTATCAAGCTCGAACAAAAAATATTTGTTATACAAAGAAAGTTTACATGATTAAATTTCAAAAGTAAGATAAATTTTTGCAAATTTAAATTTAGTTCTGCGAAACATCTTGACAATTTCTAATCAAAGAACAAGTATCTCATTTTCGCTTTAAAATTTAAAATTCAAATTAAAAGGTCAGATATTTGAATTTAAGAGAAGTATTCACACGAAGAATATAATTGACGTTGACTGTACTTAAAGAATTTCTAAATATAATTGAAAATAGAAACAGCATACACTAATTTTATCTTTATTCTTGGTATAATCCCTTCACATTAAAGATTCATTATTCACATCACAGATTCATCCTTCACATTATAGATTCATCTTTCACATCATACATTCATCTTTCACATCATAGATTCATTTTTCACTGTACAGATTCATCTTCCACATCATAGATTCATCTTTCACATCATAGATTCATTTTTCACATCATACTTTCATCTTTCACATCATAGAATCATTTTTCACTGTACAGATTCATCTTTCACATCATAGATTCATCTTTCACATCATACATTCATCTTTCACATTATAGATTCATCCTTCATATTATAGATTCATCCTTTATATTATAGATTCATCCTTCATATTATAGATTCATCCTTCACATTATATATTCATCCTTCACATCGTACATTCATCTTTCACATCATAGATTCATCTTTCACATCATACATTCATCTTTCACATCATAGATTCATTTTTCACTGTAAAGATTCATCTTTCACATCATAGATTCATCTTTCACATCATACATTCATCTTTCACATTATAGATTCATCCTTCATATTAAAGATTCATCCTTGATATTATAGATTCATCCTGTACATTATAGATTCATCCTTCACATTATGGATTCATTTTTCATATTATAGATTCATCCTTCATATTATAGATTAATCCTTCACATTATAGATTCATCCTTCATATTATAGAGTCATCCTTCATATTATAGATTCATCCTTCATATTATAGATTCATCCTTCATATTATAGATTCATCCTTCATATTATAGATTCATCCTTCATATTAAATCAACTATCCAGTCTATCTCGTCTATCAACTATCCAGTCTATGTCGTCTATCAATTATCGGCAATCGAAGACGATATTCAAGTCGTCTCTAAACTGCCATATTTATTGGGACAACCTGTACACACAAATTACATAACTGTATGGATTGTACACTGCACATTGTTTACAATTAATGTAATGATGTTTACATATATTTACATGAAGTTTACATTTTAAGTTTTAACTCTACTTCTTTCAATAGATTTTCCAATGAAAACCAGAAAACTCTGGAAGGGAAAGACTCAAGTTATGACTTTAGATACTACAAAGAACATGAGACATCCCAATTGTGTAATATAAGCTTAATTATTGATTTGATAAATTAAAAGTAATATGTTTTAGTTTGCACCATAAATACACACAAGGGCGGATACAGGATTTAAGTGAGGGGGGTGCTAGATTTATTTCAGAACAAAAACATCCAGATTTAGGAACAACATTTTTTTAAGATAGATATTTTTCCTGTTTTGCACTAGGTTTTCTTTCAAGGAACTATTCTGAAATCTCAGGGGGGGGCGAAGGTCCTGCCATGCCCCCAACAAAAACACCCCGTTACGGCCCCTGCATCTACTTCTACAGATTATAGATACAAAGTGATCTCAACAAAGGATGAGTACTATATGACGATTTTAGGGTTGAATTGGGTCATTTGCCTTGAAAATATTAATTAAATGGTTTTCTTAATTAATTGCCAAAAAATATACAAGATTTAGCATGTAATTAAAAACAGTAATAAAAGAAAACAGCTTGGTAAATTCTGTATAATCATCTCTGAAGTCTCATCCTTTGTGGGAAACCCTGTATATAAAAATGTGGGTGTTCTAACAGGTTAAAATATGGAAAACTAATTAATAAAAGTTTCCACGACGAGTCATTAATGCATTTTTAGTGCAACATTGTTGCATCAGGCATCATATGCATTGATACAGACAATGCATTTCCCCGACCTCATGCAAGGATTATGCAAAAGGTTTCGGTTTCATTTTGAATTTCTGATAAATCAGATAGTGTCAGTTTTATTTGTCTGGTCTAGACATTTTGAAAAACTAGGAACTCTTGAACATTTGCGTGCACCAAAAGTATTTTACTCAAACTGCAAAATATAGAAAAAAAATTTTATTTACATTTTACTTGAGAGGATTGTAAATATTGCATACAGGGCAGCTCCCATAAATTCTTAAATTTTTTTTCCGATAGAAATTTGCTGTCTTGACTGTTTTTTCCAGTGTTTCCTTTTGCATTCTTGTCTGTGTTGTCCTTTGTCTGTGTTGTCTGTGTTGTCTGTCTTGTCTGTCTGCTCACCTTAAATATTGCATATTTGTTGCATCCTTTAGTTTTTCTTCTTTTTACAGCGGTGTCTTTCATGTAAAACAAATTACATTGTGGGAATTAGCAGAAACGAGCAGAAATTAGCAGAAATGAGCAGAAATGAGCAGAAACGAGCAGAACTGAGCAGAAATGAGCAGAAATGAGAAGAAATAAGCAGAAATGAGCAGAAATGAGCAGAAATACGCAGAAATGAGCACAAATGAGCAGAAATGAGCAGAAATCAGCAGGAATGATCAGAAATGAGCAGAAATGAGCCGAAGTGAGCAGAAATGAGCAGAAATAACCAGAATTGAGCAGGAATGAGCAGGATTACCAAAAAGAAACTTAATTGACAACCGAAAACTCATTCAACTATCTTACCGTTGAATTTGGTCTTTTGCCTTGAATGTGGGTTTTAAATGTTATGTGATGGAAAAAACCAAATTTCTAGCATTAGGGAACCAAGATTGTAAGAATTAACTCCGAATAATTCCGTAAATATCGTCTTCGAAGTTTCATCCTTTGTGAGTATTGTTCCTGAGCTGAAAACTTTTAAATGGTGGATATTGAGATCAATGCTTGATCTCCATCTTTTTCTTAATCTTCAGATTAAATAATACTTGTTCTCTTTTTGTTATTAATCTCCAGATTAAATAATACGTGTTCTCCTCCAGATTAACTAACCGATCGGGATTAAGGATATCTCATTTAAAAGTTCCCAGCTCAGAAGTTTTGTGTCGTGTATTTGGGATCAAGCCTCTATCTCAATCTAATGCAGACCTACGGATTATTTTAATTTATTTTCTATATCCTTAAGTCATACCATGCACCTATGATGACTTCAATTGAGGGATCATTTATCCTCAAATTTAAAAGTGCCCATCCTTAAATATCGAGATCAAGTGTTCAAGATTATAACAATTTTACTTAAAGTTCCTATCTCTGTTTTAAAACTTTTTTTATGGTTTTTTCAATTAAAATATTTTTGATTTGTTAATTGCACCTAGTTTCAGAACAGTTCGAGCATGCTTTCTCGTCATTCTTTTAATTCTGTGCAGTGTTCTTGATAGCCTAAAAAATAAAAAAAATAAAAATCTAATTTTGGTCCTTTAAACGTTCTCGATATAAGAGCCCATTTTTAATAGTACACCTTCTTTTATTGATCTCTTTTCTCTCCAAGTTGCTCGAATTTGAGCTTCCTCTTCTTTCTTGGACTGACTTTGTAGAATTTCTAGAAATACATATAAAAATTTGAAACTTTACTTCGCCCTAGAAATTCAACAAAAGAAATTAATACAATGAAGAATTTGATAATTGAAAATTCAATTTACCTGTATTTTGCTAAATCTCTGAATTTCTTAGATTTGAGTATTCTGGTCCAAGACAAATCATTTCCTGTCAATTTTTCCGTCCTCCATTTTGAATTAGAGGCGCCTTTTTTCCAAGATGGATTCCTTTTCTTTTCTCGGAGATCTGAACATATTATTTCAAAACTATAAAACAAATATTTGGAGATCAGAGTGTCGGTTTACAGTTGTATATTGGAATGAAGTAAACGGTATAATTTTGAATGAAAATGATTACAATGTGAAAAATGTAAAAGTTTTAATTTACCAAAGTGTTTAAACTCTTGATGCGTCATCAGCTTTGTGGACACTGCTTCACAACTATAGAACAAAGATTTAAATGGTTGATACATTTCTCAATTTTAGCGATACTTGCGTCACAAAGTGTAAATCTCCCGCTTCGATATCAATTTTGATCTAAAATCATTGCATCGATCAAAAACATCTCGGAAAATTTAAAATTGACAGACTCCGTACAAAAATATGGCCAATTCCAAGGTTATGATGCAAGGAAAGTTAATTGCGTACATATTGAAACCAGTTCTCTCTGGGCGGAATTTGTAAATAAGAATAGATGCATAGTGTTCGTTTTGTATCGGAGGAGGTTAAAATCATTACATTTTGATAATTTTGATAATTCACATAAAATAGTTTCCTATGACCAGAATAGTTCATTTTTTTATGTTAGGCTTCGACATCCGTCTTGTGCTTACATTACCGCCCAGAAAAAGTACAATGTATTACAAAAGATGCGAAGCCGTACACACTTGAAATAACTTTCCTTGCATTATAACCTGGCGCGCGGGTACTGTTGTGAGTGAATCATTTAGGGACACCATTCAAAAAAGGATTCAGTTTGCTTGTTTTTTTTTGCACAGAATCTCTTTTCCTTTAATCTGAGCTTAAACTGCAGACTGTGGGCTGAAGCTTTGATTTAAAACTGATGCATATTTGATAATTTATTTACGCACACTCCATAACAAGTTGGCATGACTGGCAAAATCTAAGAAGGATTCGTCTTGGACTAACAAAATCATTTTCTTGATTGAAGGAGAATAAGGAGGAGATTGGGATCGGGATGTCGGGGGGCGGATCATTTGAAAGGTATATTTTCCAAACATAAAAAAGTTTACAAGATGGATCAACAATAGAGTTTTTACAACTCTGTTTTAGGTGGTGAAGAATGAATTGAAAGATCAAGATCAGAGTTTAGAGAAGATAAAGCGTTGAATATATATTGGTTGGAAGGTGACCAGGAGACTATTCAATACTTCCTTATCTTGTCAAACCAAACTAAGAAAGGATAAAAACAAGAGTAAAGAGAGTCAAGTTTATGCATATCAGACTAAACTAGAGTTTAAAGAGCATAAATCTTTCTGACTTGAAACCCTAGGAGTTTCAGAAGGTTAGAAGGACGGATAGAATATGATGAGAAGGTTGGAAGGATGTATAGAACAGGACGGATTAAACATGTCGATAATGTTCGAAGGACGGATAGAACAGTATAAGAATGTTAGAAGGACGGAGAGAACAGGATAATAAGGTTAGAAGGACGGATAGAACATGATTAGAAGGTTGGAAGGACTGATAGAACAGTATGAGAAGGTTGGAAGGACGGGGAAGAGAGGATATAGAGGAAAAATAGAGGAAATAATGGAAAAAATGAGAAAAACGATGGAGAAATCAGGATATTTAGAGCTAGAAGTGAAAAATTTAGGCGCGAAATGAGGATATTAAGGGAGAAGTAAAGATATTAAAGGAGAAGTGAGGATATTCAGGGAAAAGTGAGGATATTAAGGGAGAAGTGAGGATATTTAGGGGAAATGAGGATATTAAGGGAGAAGTGAGGATATTAAGGGAGAAGTGAGGATATTAAGGGAAAAGTAAGGATATTAAAGGAGAAGTGAGGATATTAAGGGAGAAGTAAAGATATTTAGGGAGAAGTGAGGATATTAAGGGAGAAGTGAGGATATTAAGGGAGAAGTGAGGATATTAAGGGAGAAGTGAGGATATTTAGGGGAAGTGAGGATATTTAGGGGAAGTGAGGATATTAAGGGAGAAGTGAGGACATTTAGGGGAAGTGAGGATATTATGGGAGAATTGAGTATATTTAGGGGAAGTGAGTGAGGATATTAAGGGAGAAGTGAGGATATTAAGGGAGAAGTGAGGATATTTAGGGGAAGTGAGGATATTAAGGGAGAAGTGAGGATATTAAGGGAGAAGTGAGGATATTAAGATAGAAGTGAGGATATTATGGGAGAAGTGAGGATATTATGGGAGAAGTGAGGATATTTAAAGAGAAGTGAGGATATTATGGGAGAAGTAAGGATATCAAGGGAGAAGTGAGGATGTTACGGGAGAAGTAAAGATATCAAGGGAGAAGTGAGGATATTATGGGAGAAGAAAAGATATTAAGGGAGAATTAAGGGAGAAATAAGATATTAAGGGAGAAGTAAAGATATTAAGGGAGAAGTAAGGATATTATGGGAGAAGTAAAGATATCAAGGGAGAAGTGAGGATATTAAGGGAGAATTAAAGATATTAAGGGAGAAGTAAGGATATTAAGGGAGAAGTAAAGATATTCAGGGAGAAGTGAGGATATTCAGGGAAAAGTGAGGATATTAAAGTAGAGGTGAGGATATTAAGAGAGAAGTGAGGATATTAAGGGAGAAACGAGGATATTTAGGGGAAGTGAGGATATTAAGGGAGAAGTGAGGACATTTAGGGGAAGTGAGGATATTATGGGAGAATTGAGTATATTTAGGGGAAGTGAGTGAGGATATTAAGGGAGAAGTGAGGATATTAAGGGAGAAGTGAGGATATTTAGGGGAAGTGAGGATATTAAGGGAGAAGTGAGGATATTAAGGGAGAAGTGAGGATATTAAGATAGAAGTGAGGATATTATGGGAGAAGTGAGGATATTATGGGAGAAGTGAGGATATTTAAAGAGAAGTGAGGATATTATGGGAGAAGTAAGGATATCAAGGGAGAAGTGAGGATGTTACGGGAGAAGTAAAGATATCAAGGGAGAAGTGAGGATATTATGGGAGAAGAAAAGATATTAAGGGAGAATTAAGGGAGAAATAAGATATTAAGGGAGAAGTAAAGATATTAAGGGAGAAGTAAGGATATTATGGGAGAAGTAAAGATATCAAGGGAGAAGTGAGGATATTAAGGGAGAAGTAAAGATAATGAGGGAGAAATGAGGATATAAAAGAAGAAGTAACGAAGTCCAGGAAAAAAACTACGATATATTTATTATATTGAGGGCTCAACTCAATTTATATTGAAAGGTTTGTATAGAGCAAGTATTGTTTGCATATTATATAATGTGTATAATATTCATATATTCAGATTTATCTATACTGTACAGAGAGTGTCAGAAAAAACCTTTCCTGCAGTAAAATCTGAATTGTGAATCATAGCTTCAATAATAGGGACAGCCAAGATAAAAACAATCCTAACCAACTATGATCCAATTTTATATATGTACGTGCAGATATTTGATTCTAAACACCAAAAATGCATTTTGTTTGTTTTCTGTTGCTTGCGGGTTGGAAGTCAAATAATATCAGATAAAACTAACTATAATAAAGTAAATCCTATCTGTATCAACATCAGATTTCAGTATTTTGATCTTTAATTTAAAATCTATTGAAATTATGTAAATTATTTAGCTATTTCTCTCTAAAAAAATGTGTACCCACTCAATTTAAAATGTATAAGGCAAGCCAAGAACATTTTCTTTAAAGTTCTCCCAGAGAGAAATGTCAACTTTAAATATATTGATGTAGACAATTTATCGGGAAAAATGAGTTTCAAAGTATAGGCTTATAATATTTAAACAGTGTCCGAATTTAATGAATTTGAGCCGCGGCTTAAATCTGCCAAAAACCGGTTTTAATTGAGCGCCGGCTTAAATCTTGCAAAATTTAATACAATTTTAAGTGAAACCAACCATATTTGAGCCGTGGCTTAGATTTAAGCCGCAGCTCAAATTCTTTAAATTCGGCCTCTGGGCACCTAATTTACCATAACTTGTCTGGTTTCGGAACACCCGGCTAAATTATTCAAGGAACTTGAGTGTAGGCTTGTAATTCAATATAAAAACAGAGCACTGAGTGTTGAATAGGCGATCTGTAGGAAAAGGTGTGTAGTAGGACTAGGAGGTATCCAGAGCTAGATACTTTGAACCTAGTATATATAAGAAACCTTTTTTAATGGGGTCAGGCAGTTATGTAGATACCATGAATGTTTATGTTAAGAAATATTTTTTTGGGGGTTTCTTTACATTTTCATTTTGTTGTCAGATTTCTTAAATTAAAATATACGTCAATGTATAAATAGACCAAGAATTAAACTCAGGAGTTTCGTTCAACGATACTTTCAAAAAATTCCAGCTCAGGCGGTACACTGCAGTATCTAGGTCCTATCAGATAAATAGGTTTAATCTACAAACTTAGTAGGTGGACATATAGACACACAATAAACTTTGGTAAACATGCAGTAATAAGTCTTGTCTGTCTTTTTATTTATTCTTGTGTAGCTCAAAACTCGAGAATTGAGACTTGAAGAACCGTGGAATATCTCTAAAAATATTTATTCAAGATTACGATGAAAAAAACGTTATAAAAAAGAAAAGTTTCGAATTTAAAGATTAAAAATAAACATCTATAAATATATCTAATCAAGACTAACATTTACAAAAATAATTATTCTTCATTACGATGAAAGAACTTATTAAAACAGAAAAGTTGCGGATTTAAAGAAAAAACAATAAAACATCTATAAATCATAAATCTTTAGATCGTTTTTAAACAAATCCCAACCCTACTCTCTAGCACTAGAATTATATCATTTTCTTCTCAATATATTTCGCCAAAAACTTTGGCATCATCAGGAGTTAGTCCTTACTCTTTTGAAGAGTATTGAATAAATCTTTTAACATAAATAATATCTATAGGATGAAGGATGAATGAGAAAAGGACCAGAGACCGAATTTAAAGAATTTAAGCCACAGTTTAAATCTGCCAAAACCCGGTTTAAATTAAATCTCGAAAAATTTGATACAATTTTAAGTGGAACCAACCATATTTAAGCCGCGGCTTAATTTAAACCGCCGCTCAAATTCTTTAAATTCGGCCACAGGTTTAAAGAATTTAAGTCGCGGCTTAAATCTGCCAAAACCCGGTTTAAATTGAGCGCCGACTCAAATCTTGAAACATTTGATACAATTATAAGTGAAACCAACCATAATAAGGCAGTGGCTTAAATTTAAACCGCGGCTCAAATTCTTTAAATTCGGCCTCAAGTTTAAAAAATAAAAAATAAACAATTATAATTGCTGATTTAATGCCTTACCTATATTTTCTGCAAGGATCTAGCAAAGCTGTTGCTTCTCTAAATTATGAACTTTTCTCCTAAATATCTTACTTTAAATTACTGACCCTAATTCGATACAAAGTATTCAAATTACGAATCAAATGAATGTCAAAATGACTTCCAGCATTTTATTTTCAGCGTAAAAAAAAACATGATGATCTCCGGGATCCTTGATTAAACAAATGTTTGAAGGACACCCTTGTGAATCTGACATGCCGCTTTTTAAATACAGAAATATTGCAAGGAAATGAAAAAAAGAGAAAAAAAATTTCAACCGCGGACAGTTCCTTGAAAAAGGACAATCTTTATATGTTTACCTTGTATTGAAGATTTAATATTAAATTATTAAAAAATACAAAATATGAATTTAGGAATAATTGTTTTAAAAAGTTCAAATTCCTGCCGCCCCCTGCAAATCTTAAAACCAATATTAGCACCCAGATCAACCACATCCTTCACCAATGCGTTCAAATATTGAGATCGGGTCGACTTTGAAATGTTGACAGGTAGTTTCACTTTACTGCTCAAATAGTTTTTGTAGCCCTTGGAAAGAAGATTTTACAGATGTAAAGTAATTGATTGCATAGGAGTGTTTATCACAATCTTGACAGATTTTTGCGCCGAAATATGTCTTTTTCTAATAATTGAACCTCCTCAGAGACAAAACACCATTCTTTGACACTTTCACTTTTTTCAATTTCACAAAATATTCATTTCCAGGTGGCAGAATAAGGAGTTTATATCCAGTTTTCATGCGTAATGATTTATATCCAGTTTTCAGGATCTATATCTGGTTATCCTGGTTTGATCTTCACATTGTTCTAAAGGTATGGATATCTGGGGATATATTCGGTTACGTTTTCCTCAAAATCATCCCAGCCATTTTCAAATAGTATTTTCTGGAATATTTTTCTGCTTTGTCTGAAAAGAAATTGGATCTTTGTCACAAACTCTGATTTTCTAATTCCTATATCTTTGCAATACAATGACGTGTAGAAGCTAGATATTTCAAACTTTTGATTCGGTTAGATTAAATATTCAAGTTATAAATAAAATAACGATAAGGTTGCAAAGATATAGAGGTAAGAAAATTCGACTGTAAGGCAAAAACTCAATTTATTTATTAATTGGTATAAATATGTTTAGGGTTGAACAAGTTTGCTCTATTTTCATATTCCAAGATATTGCTCGTTTAAAGCATTATGTTAAATGACGTTTTACACTGAAAAACATGTTTTGGGACCAGATTTATTGAATAGCGAGAAGTAGCTGAACTGCGCAGACTTAGTTCAACCACTTCTCCTCTGTGACTTGCTGGTCAATTTCCATCGATCAGATTCTCAAAAAAAATGTGTTCATTACAGATCATTCGAAATTATTGTTTTTTTTTATGAAAGATTTTTGATACTTCGAATTGTCTTAATAAAAACTTACTGTACTGGTTGTACAATGTCAAATTTAAGTAAGCTTAACGTTAGATTCAAATTGTTTTCTATCATAATTCCTCTAAATAATTAATCTACGCATTTGCATGCGATATTTTTAGTTTTTTGCGTCTGTACACTCAGCATTCGTAGTAATATCGTTAATTTGCTTTTGAGAATTTAAATCCTAGAAAGGAATCTCTAGCACTTTATATTTATGTTTTTGTTTCTAAACGCTTAAAAGTTTAGTGTATTTTGTTTCATAATAAATTGGAAGTAAAAAGAAAACATGAATTCGATCAATGTCAAGTTAGACAGGATATCCTCTCTATCTTCAATAGGATATTCTATTTATCTTCTCTATCTTCAACAGGATATCCTATTTATCCTCTCAACAACAGGATATCCTATTTATCCTCAACAGGATATCCTATTTATCCTCTTAACAACAGGATATCCTCTTTATCCTCTCAACAACAGTATATCCTATCACCCTCTCAACTACAGGATATCCTCTTTATCCTCTCAATAAAAGGATATCTGTCCTTTCAACAACAGGATATCTTATTTATCCTTTGTACGGATATTTCTTTACATTTTGTATATTCCACTACATTTGGTTTGTGATTTATCATAGCTCAAGGCTTTTGACTAATATGGTATTTATTCAATCATTTAGAAATACGATACAAAGATGTTAATAGATAAATAGAAATTTAAATAGATAGATAAAGATAGATTAGTAGATAAATAAAGACAAATTACAGATTTACAAACAAAAGCTTGCCGTGTGTACTAGGACACCCTGTGCTAGAGTATACTGGGACACCCTGTAGAAGAGTATCCTAAGACACCCTGCAGTATTACTATATCGGGACACCCTGTAGTAAAATATACAGGGACACCCTTAGTAGAATATACTGGGACACCCTGTAGTACAATATACTGACACACTCTGTAGTACAGTATACTGGGACACTCTGTTGTACAATATACTGGGACATCCTGTGTAGGAGAGTAAGCAGGGACAAGTTATAATAGAGTATTATACTAGGACTTCCTGTATTAGAGTATATTGAGACATTATGTAGTAGAGTATACTGGGACACCCTGTAGAAGAGTTTACACTGGGACACCCTTTAGTAGATATAAGAGTATACTGGGACACCCTGTAGTAGAGAAAACAGGGACACCCTATGGTAGAGTTTACACTGGGACACCCTATAGTAGAGTATACTGGGACACAGTGTATTTATGTATATCTGGAAAGTTGTATGTATTGTGACACCCTGTGTTGTTGAGTTCACTATATTTATATGAATCCTGAACACTAGGTATTCTAAACACGACTGATAAAGCTGTAATTCCTGAGCGCTCAAACCTTACAGATTCAATCCTTAGAGTATCTTGAAATATAGAGATTCAGTCTTTAAAGTATCTTAAAATATAGAGATTCAATACTTAAAGTATCTTGAAATATAGAGATTCAAACCTTACAGTATCTTGAAATATAGAGATTCAAACCTTAGAGTATCTTGAAGATACAAAGATTCAAACCTTAGAGTATCATAAAACATAGAGATTCAATACTTAGAGTTTCTCGAAATATAGAGATTCAAACCTTAGAGTATCTTGTAATATAGAGATTCAATCCTTAGAGTATCTTGAAATATAGAGATTCAATACTTAGAGTATCTTGTAATATAGATATTGAATCCTTAGAGTATCTTGTAAAATAGATATTGAATCCGTAGAGTATCATGAAATATAGAGATTCAATCATCAGAGTATCTTGAAATATAGAGATTCAATCCTTAAAGTATCTTGAAATATAGAAATTCAAACTTATAGAATATCTTGAAATATAGAGATTCAATATTGATACTAAAGTATATTGATACCAAATAGGTGGTTTCAAAGTGTCATTACAAAATTGTCTATTTTGTGAACTTACCAAAATGTCATCACCAATCGTTGTCACCAAATTGTCACCTTACCAAATTGTCATTACTAAATTGTTATTACTAAATTGTCATTACAATTGTCATTACCAAATTGTCATTACCAATTTGACATTGAAAGCTTGGAGTATCTTGGAAAACAGAGATTCAAGCCTTGAATTTATTACATGTATTGCGAAATGTGGAATGTGTAATGTGTATACTAGCTACTTTTCTCCAGGAATAATAAAATTCCATCTATTATCCCGATGGATTAGTCTTAAAATACAATTTGGGAAGGAAAATACTATTCCTGCGTTATTATGAATTTAAAGGATCTGAATTTGCCACAAACTCAAATTTTCTAATCCCTGTTTATTTGTAACTTGATGGTGGAAACCTTTGATAATTCAAATTTAGACGATTTGATCTAACAGCATTCATAGTTTGAAATATAAAAGGTATAAGACATCGGACTGCAGAGATATTTGAATTGAATTTTTGAACGAGTAGGCTGCATTTTGGGTTTAATTAATGTATATTGTCAATAAAAATTGTAAAACCTAGCAAACATTGATAAATTGAAATATCATTGCAAAAAAGAACGTATTTTTATTTTACTAAATTTAAAGGGTTTTAAAAAAAAACCCAAATTATTCACACTTTTTTCTATCAGAGGAGGCTTAATTATTACACGATCAGAATGAAATTAATATCACAATGTCTCTATGGTGTTAGGACAATGTGAAAACATTTGACTATTTGTAAAAAAAAAAATTTTTAACATTGTTCAGACCTGGATCTTATATGAATCTTATATTCCTAATGTAAACCGTCAAACTATGTACTTTGCATGTGAAGTGTACTGTGTACCGTTGCATGTAAAGTTTATTGTGTACTGTTGCATGTGAAGTGTACTGTGTACTGTTGCATGTAAAGTGTATTGTGTACTGTTGCATGTAAAGTGTACTGTGTACTGTTGCATGTGAAGTGTACTGTGTACTGTTGCATGTAAAGTGTACTGTGTACTGTTGCATGTAAAGTGTACTGTGTACTGTTGCATGTGAAGTGTACTGTGTACTGTTGCATGTAAAGTGTATTGTGTACTGTTGCATGTGAAGTGTACTGTGTTCTGTTGCATGTAAAGTGTATTGTGTACTGTTGCATGTGAAGTGTACTGTGTACTTTGCATGTGAAGTGTACTGTGTACTGTTGCATGTGAAGTGTACTGTGTACTTTGCATGTGAAGTGTACTGTGTACTGTTGCATGTAAAGTGTACTGTGTACTGTTGCATGTAAAGTGTACTGTGTACTTTGCATGTGAAGTGTACTGTGTACTGTTGCATCTGAGCCCGAAAGGAACTGAGTTTTTGCCACAAACTCCAATTTTCTAAAACCTATATCTGTGCAACCTAATGTCGTAGACCTTTGATATTTCAAACTATGAATTCTGTTAGATCAGATAGTATGAGTGTGAAATATCAAAGGCCTACACTATCAGGTTGCGAGGATATAGATATTAGAAAATTCGATTTTGTGGCAAAAACTCAATTTCTTTATGAGAGTATCGTCTAAGACAACTCTTGAGTTTTATTTTTGGGGTCTAAACAGTTGTTTAGACTTTTATTTAAAAAATTAGAAAAAGTAGATAATATAAAGAAATTAAATAGAATAATATTTCCGATTAAAAATATTGGTATCTACAAAACTGCGTGACCCCATTCTTACAATCGGGTTGCCGATACTTGGGTTCATGACGATAGCCTATTTTAAGCTTTGGGCTCTGTTGCAAGATTAAAAGAACAGATTCCTTTATCCATCAATCATATTCTCTTAAGTAAAACATTATTTAAACTAATTATCTGATTAGATATTTTAGTAGCAACCAATATATTATATATTATTATTATATTTTTAGTTTTATTTACAGGGTGTTACCAAAAAGCTTTGAAGTAAGTAAGTAAATATTTATTTTTTAAATCATAATTAAAAGGTTAGTTTTGTGAAAAAAAATTGGTTTTAGACAAAAAAGCATTTTCAACTTTTAATTTGTGCTGTAAATATTGTCTTTTTAGGCCTCAAACTGTTTTGTTACAACCACTTCTTTGAGTATAAATCAAAAATTGTTTTCCCGGATTTTTCAAATTTTTGTTTTTACAGATTTCATTTTCATTGGAACGTAAAGTGTGCAAAATTAGCTGCAAAGAGTCTGAAGTTTCTTTTTAAGTCAAAATTTTGAATAAGTTCTAATTATTGTTGCACTTAAGCAATTTGAAAATAAAATTATCATGAAAAAAAATAAAAGAAATCAAATCGCCAATGCAGTTTTCCCTTGCTGTTAAACCCGAGATACTTTTTAAATATTTCATGAACTGTTGGAAATATTCTACTCAATAAAATGGAAAGTTCAAGAAAACAACTAAAAACCTATCTATTGGATTAACTTTCCTTAAAAAATGTATATTTTCCATTTATTAGATTTACTAAAGGTTTCAAGACGGAATAATTCTGTTTATAAATATCAGGAAAAGGTTGTTTTCTGAATACACTCTA